ACTTCACCGGTGCGATGCTGGTGCTGTACGTGTTTGGGCGGCACCCGTCGCACAACTTCACGTACTCCGCGACGCTGCAGCAGGAGGCGGCGGAGTGGCACGATGTGATTGCGCTGCCGATGAATGAGGGGCGCCCATCGACCAACAAGACGATTGGTGACCTCAAGTGGGGCAATGAGGCTGAGATCGGGCTGAGCCGCAAGGTGTTCCTGTGGTTCGACATGGCGCTGCGNGTCGCACAACTTCACGTACTCCGCAGGGCTGGAGGCGGAGGCGGAGCAGTGGCACGATGTGATTGCGCTGCCGATGAATGAGGGGCGCCCATCGACCAACAAGACGGTTGGTGGTGGCCTCGGCTGGGGGAGTGAGGCTGAGATCGGGCTGAGCCGCAAGGTGTTCCTGTGGTTCGACATGGCGCTGCGGCTGTTCCCTACTGCGACATACTTCGCGAAGGGTGACGACGACACGTTCCTGCGCGTGCCGCAGTACCTCGCTGACCTGCGCTCACTGCCTCGCCGCGGGGTGTATTGGGGATTGCCAGTTGGTGCAACTGCACAAAAGGGGAATGTTACTCACAAGTTTCATTACTTCTCCGGGATGTGCTACACTCTTGCGAGGGATGTGGTGCAGCAGCTTGTGTCGTTTAAGCCTGTGCGACGGCTGGTGCATGTGCCGTATACCAAAAGGAATGAAGCGGCGTTTCTCTACTTCAACATGCAACATGAGGATGTGATGGTGGGGCAGATACTACGGCTGGAGGTGCGATACCCAGCTTTAGTGATTGTGGCGGACTGCTGGATTCGTTTTCACATTGGGCGAGACCGAGCAGGGAAGCTACGAGCTAAATTTACGTCGGTTGCACTTCACTTTCCACCGGAATATAGTTATGGGACGCTAATGGATTTATTCGGCGATGACACCTTGCAGAGTACAGTGTTGTGGAAGTGGCGCTATCCTGGGCTTATTAAATTCTTTTGTTAAGAACGTACCATGAGTACACCCTGTTTTGTTTCGTAGTTTAATTTTCTTCAGGACGGTAGACTCTTGCTCGTCTTCGATAAGAACCACATGTTCTTCTTGTTTACGACGTACCAATCATTTTCTTTTGCCGTTAGGTTGTCTCTGCAGATGGCTTATGCGCCAGTGAAATTGTCAATCATTCCACACTCTGCCTTACCGTCATCGATCTTCATTCCTAGCCACATCATGGCTGTGGTCAATGTTGGCTCGGCGTGACACCCTCCTGTTGCGGTTGCCACGCTTCGTCATGCCCCCACTACCTGCAGTGTTGTGCATCTTCTTTTCTTATCAGCGTCTTCTCCCTAAAGGAGCGCCCACCAGTCATGGCACATCGCCTAAGGCACACAACTTTTATTTGTGTCTGTTGCGTTTTTCCTCTGATTGCCGTATATGGTTTCCAATATTCGGAGGTCAGAAATTTAATTCTCTCCAATGATCCTCCACACAGCGCACCGGCTAAAGGCACTTCGACGAATCCTCGCAGCGCACACGCCGCGTTTGACAGTGAGTCCCTGCAGTACGTCCCACGCAGTGTTGTACGCACGTGGAAGAAGCGTGACTTCCTCATTGTGCT